AGATTTTTTTCCTCCAAAAATCTGCTTGCTTGAAGCTCCTGCTCTTATGTCCTAGAGATAAAGCTTGAAATCCTGGTCTGGAAGGCTTCACAACTCCCATCAGTTTCAGCAGAGCCAGAACTGATCTTGGTTCTGTAACATGGGATCATGCATTCTGCAAGTTTAAATAGCACATGGATGACTGTTGTTCACATACTGGATATGACTCAAAGCTTATTAAAGTGAAAAAATAGATTAGTGTTATTAATTTTAATGGGCTTTGGATCAGGCCTGAAAATGCACAGCACCTGAAATATTCTGTAAAGGATCAACATATAGATTTTCCCTGTTGCACCATAAATTTTATTCAAAATATCTCAAATGTATTGCTTTCCCTAAAAAAAAAACGAAACAAGCCAAACCCAACCCCCCACAAAAACTCAAACATTTTTAGCAAGACATTAAAAAAACAGTATTTGTATAATTGTCCTCTATGTCAACATTTTCTGTAATGTAAGTGGAGTGACCAGTGTCAGCAAAGCAGTGCATTAAAATCTGTCTCTTACTGATTCAGACTGGTTTTTGCTACCCCTGGGGACACTATTTGTGTCTGTCAAGAATGTTTCAACCTGACAGCTCCTGATTTTCAACAGGGAGGGGAAAAGGCAGAACTAATGGATGTGAATGAGCTTAAAAGCTAGTGAACTTATCAATCACAGAAAACAACTGTATTTTGGGAAGGAAATAGAGGTGCTTTGGCAAAAAAAAAAAAAAAGAAAAAGTCAATAGGTATTTTTTTTCAGACACTGATAACTATGATCAAGTTTTGGTCAGACTATTTTTGGTCTCAGCGCTTTTGTCAGCATTGATTATCACATAAAATTTCTCATGCACTGCATTAAATACTTCACATGCAGCATTATAAGCAGGTCAAATTCAGAGGTCCCAGTTAAGCTTTAACTAAGATAAAATGTTTTTTTCATTCAATAGGAGCTTGTTTCAATAATAACTGAACAAAATTGAATGAAGCCTTAGGATCTGAACCAAAGAATCCAATTATATTTACACAGTTTTTGCACAGCTAGTCTATTATTGTTGAGCTGGGTGAGTGCTCATGAATGTGTTTGAAGGCTTGCATATTTTGCATCAGAAAGAATCAGATATCATATTGCTTTTCCTAAGCAATACTTTAACTGTTCTTTCCATAAGACTTGCATGAATGAAGTGAAAAGGAAACTATGATCTACTACTATAATAGTTATTACTCAGGTTATTTTTTTCATGTGGCACTTGCTCTTACTCAGGTATTATAAACAAATATTGACAGAGATTAGATTTATAATGACTTGGAGAATGAGATGGATTATGTTTAACAAATGACCCAAAATATTCCTAATATAGTGAGAACTTTCTCAAACCAGACGTCAAACAAAATATTCTGAGATTCAGAAAAAAAATTTAACTTAAAACTTAAAAAGTTAAAAAGTAGGATTCAATAAATGCCAACATTTTACAGCTCTAATTAGTTTAATTGCCAAACAAAATAATTTTGAACTATAAAACTTGATAGTTTCAATAAAAATGTCAAAATAAAGCGTTCTGAAAACTTTCCAAGCTTATCTCCCTTAATGTTCAGAATTGACAGAAATAATGAAAAAAGGTTTGGCATTGTCAGCATTGTCACTGGAAAATATATGATGAAAAAAATTTAAAACTCCCTATTATTAAATGATGTATTATCTCTACATGCTATAAAACTCAGTTGGTGAGATTTTTTTTATCTGCATTTTAAGGCTTGATTGTCATCAAGTGGAGGCACTTTCCAGAAACTTCTGAGGGGAATCAAACTGCTCAGGGAGAGGCTTGCAATTTCTTCTTGCTTTAATGCTGGCACAGTCAGTGTAAGTTTTTAAACCTGGGCATTTGGGCTTCAAATTAATTATTTAGCAGGTATTTGTCAGTGGATCGTGTTTGATGACATTGAAAAAACTTTTTTACCTCAGTTAAAATAGGCTTGCTCCATCCCATTTTCAGAAACCAATGCAGCCTTATTTCCCTGTCTGTACTCCCTGGACTAGACTTTCTATAGGCCCTCAGGCAGAAGTGTGTTTTACAAAGCAGAGCTCTGATTTACGGCCCTCTCCCACTATTTTTTGCCCTTGGCTGTCATAACTTAGTGCTTTGAAGTGGATCGTTTGCTAATGGCTTATTAGCTCATCTATTTTCTTTCTCTGTGTACGCATTCCTTATGACTACCTTCAGCGTTGTAGATACAATGCTAGCTCGTTCTTAACACACTCTTTAATTACAACCCACATCCAGCTCCAGAGAAGGGCTTCCCAGGTGAGTTAATATTCACATGAATGCAGAAGCAGGCAGCTGAGCCTGCCTTGGTGATTACTGAAGAAAGTTAACATTTTCATCACTACAAATGAGTGAACTCCTGGATGCTGCAGCTGAAAGTGGTCAGTCACTGATGGGAGATGGAGGGGAAAGCAGACATCAGGGTTTCAAACTCACAACTGGGAAGGAAAAGGCAAACTGAGTTTGCACAGAGCTGCCCTGAATAGTGTGTCTTTTTCTTTCCTCATCCTGCTATAAACTTTTAATCTCTCTTAAAATCTTCTTGTGGGGTGGCAAGTAAGAGGCTGAGAGGCCCCAAATTCACAGCATGGCTATAATGACTTTATCTTAAATGATTTATCTTTGAAGCTCAAATTGACTACGTACAACTGCTTTTCTCACCAACAGTCCCCTCTTTCTGAATTCTACATCTTTAAGTCCTGATATGTTCAGAGAAACCCAAAGTGCTGTGCATGCCATTACTGTACTCTGTTGGTTTCTTTATATTCCCTCAGGGCAATCTATAGTACCACCCCTCTCCATGCAAAGTCAGTACTTTAAGTAAGCTGTATAACACATAAAAGATGGGGAAGTCAGAAGAATAAAATAAAATAAAAAAAGTATGAGTTTAAATTTTCAGGGGAAAAAAATAGAGATAAATATACAGCATAGAATTGTTTCTGCTCTTATACTGGAAATGTTTCCTGCTACACGATGACCTTCTACTCTTTCAACTTCTACTCTCCAAAAATTCTAAGTTTTTGCTTCTTTCCCCCACCATTTCTTAAACAACATGTATTTTTCTCTTCCTCAGAACACCACTGGATGTGAAGTCAAGCTTCTTTTTTTCTCTCCTTGTTTTCAGTTAAACCCTCCAAGGGTAGATGCAAGCTGTTCCACTCCTGCTGAACGGATGCTTCAGAGCAAGAATAGTCCCACGGAGACTAAGTGAGATGTCATGCTGGGGGCAAGAAATGGGGAGACAGACAGACACACATACACAACCACATGCATTCAGACACACATATGGATCTCTATATAAGTAAGAGCAGTCCCATTTCTGTACATTCCAGGATATGTGAAATGTACAGAAATACGTTTCTGTGCCTAGAAATCACTGAGCACATTGTGCTGTCCAAAAGGACTGAAATGTCAGTTTTCTTATCAAGTAAGTGAAGCCTTGTGGTGAAAGACTTACTGTTCCTGTTATCTGTGGGTTACTGGTCAGTTAGTGATAGCAGGCCATGTCCAGAAAACACCTGGCAAACGTTACTGTCAGGATTTTCAGTGGACCCTCAGGCTTATTACTGACCTTTACTGTTGAAGCCATTAATCTAAATGTGTCCCACAGACAGCACTACAAACATTACAAGCTGAGGTTCAGATTAAGTCAAATATTAGTCACTTTCACTTATTTGTGAGATCAAATTGAAGTAAACAGTAATTAATAGCCACTAAGACAACTCAGACTAGCCTTTGCTTTATAGGCCTGGTTCTTATCATTTTTCCCACCATTAGGTGAATTTTTTACTTCTTTAAGGTTTCTTAAAACTAATAAACAAGACTTCCTGGTTGCTAGACACAACATTAAGAGGTTGTGAACTATTTTTACCTCTCATTTTAAGGCCACACTAACCAGTTACTGTGCCCAAACAAAAATACAAAGCCAAGAATGTATAATGAAAAAGGTCCAAAAATCCAGATGAATCAAGAAAGTCTTAAACAGAGTCTGTTTGAAAGTGTGTGGCCTAAATCTACTTACCATAAGGATATTTCCAGTTTGTTTCTCTCTTCCTTTAACATTTTTTTCTGTTTTACTAAATTTTTACTATTATATAGTATAACTATATAACTATAGTTATACTATATCTATATAGTAGTTATATTTATAGTAGTATAACTACTAGTTTCTATCCTATTGGTTTCTTCTTTCTTGAAAGGGTCAATATTTTGCAAAGTATTTTAAATATGAATGGTAGCTTTTGCCTATTAGTGTTGAATAAGTTTTGAAATAATGTGAATGAGTGTTAAGTTTTGCAATTTTAATGAAAGCTCTCTCATTAACACAGTAGCAACAACAGCAAAACTAGAAAAGACAGATTTGTCACGCTGCACCAGATGATATCCTGCATGGTATCTACAATTAAAATATACCACTGTGTCTATTTTTTTAATATATTTATTTATTTATATTCCACTCTGTGACCTACCATTCTGGTTACTGTTGCAGACACTTTGTTTTAGTAATTTTCAACATCAGGAAATTATATTCTCTATTTTGGGGTATTTGAAAACGGAATTTTCCTCACTTAATGGTAACATAGAACTTGAAAAGCAAAATTCTCCAAGAGCTAGTTATATTTTTCTGAATTTATAACAAATGTGTTTGTTTTAATTAATTAAGATTTTCCCCTCTGATTATTATGGCTTTGTATTAAGTATAGTATGTTAATAACGTGGTTTAAAACCAGGATATTGGATCCCCCACCTTAAATATTTAAAAGAAACACTCTACGTGTAAAAAAGCAAAAGCATGTTCTCTAATGAAGTGGGACTCTGCATTAGAGCTTTAATTCAGCTGTTCACAGCTACATCAAGAACAGCTGAAAATGAAATGTATAATACAGCTCAGGAGTTAGGAAGCAAAGTGGTGATTACTGAATTGAGATAAAGCAGGATACCTTATTCCCTTTTTCACATCTTTGTAGCTGAGACCAAAGATGTTAAAACTGCTAAGAGGGGTATGTATATTGACTTTATATGGAGTTTTTTAGCATACAATGCTGAAGTTACTTTACTCGCAGCAAGTAAACTTGCTATACGTATATTTCCCTTAGAAATATGAACACATGAATGCATGTATGTGATGAACACATAAATGCATGCTTTGTGATGTTAATGCAATGGACAATAGTTATTTCCTGTGAATTTTCACCCTTTAAAATCTGCATCTTTATAGCCTCCTGCAGGGACAATTGTGTAGCAGCTAACCAGGGAAAAAAAGCTATTATCAGATCGATGTTTTCTCAGTCATGGAGATTTTAAAACCACGCTCTTAAAGTGCGTGAAATTAAATCTGTCAAGATCAAGAAGTATTGCATGTGTTTTATGTTTTTGAAAACTGTAACAAAACCAAGCTGAAATGTCATTTAGTATTTCACCAACTACTGACTTAGCATGCTACAGAAGTTGATGTTTTCTATTGCTTTATTTTAAATGAAGGATTTGGAGCAAAAAGCAAAAGCGAGATGCAAGAAAATCTATCTAGTTGCAAAAAAAAAATTGGCCTTTTTTTCTAATTGTGACATCCATGATCTCTACAGATAGTGATATGATGATAAGACTGGAAAAGAAGAATAAAAATGTCAGGAAGTAATATTCCAAATTGTAAATAAGTTTTGGCACAGTTAAATGAGAAAGTCATGATACATGGAAATCACTCCACAGAATATGAATACCATGTGTTAAGTTACAGCATTAAATGCTAACAAAAACATGTAGCATTGCAAAATGATTCATAAATTCTTGGCTATATGATAATTATGTTGCTACTGTAAAAGATGACAGACTAACATCAACTTATGAGAAAAGCTATGTCAATGCAAAATTCTCCTTCATTTAAGGACATAGAGTATTAAAAAAAGGAAAAATTAAAGAACATTAAACACATCCCTTTTGGTCATATAGGCTTTTACAGCACTTTGGTATCACAGCGTTTTTTATGTCTTTCACTCCAGTGACTCAGAGACGACAATCACTCCTACGGCAGACTTGATAATCCTTTGCTCTCTCAGTGTTTTGAGCTCTTCACACTAAATCTTTACTTTAAGTGGCAAAGTTTCCATCTCTCTCCAGCTGGTGCTGCCAGTCATTCCCCAGACCTGAAGGCTCCCACTTTTTAATGTGCGTGCACTCCACTTGTATCTATCACACAGAGACTACACCTGCAGAAACAATTATTGTACATCATAGAATAGATTTGCAGAGCAGAGCAGCTGGTGCCAAGGACCTGATGACCACAGGAGATCATATGGAGTGTTTTTACTTCAGCTCAGTCCTCATCTGTCTCCAAAGCTCCAAATGCCCATCTGCAGACAGAATGTCCTAGGTGAGCTTCCAAGCATATATTCTTCCACTGTTTCACCTGCAGTGAATCCAATTCCAGAACCCTGAGACCACTCCATTACATGACTCCACCTAAGTGTGGAAAAGCAGAAGTCTTGGTTTAAAAATGTACTTTCAATGGATGGTAAAATGTAAAAGGCACCTACATCTGCTAGGGAATGTAGATGTGTAATGTTTACATTTAAAATTGCCTTCTCTTTTTGGTTGTTTTTTTTTTCTCTTTTTGTTTTTTTTCTGAAAAGGAATTATGTCTTTTATAGAAGTATATGAATGCTTTCCCACTGATGCAGTAAATCCATGGGAGAGAATACTGGCTTTTCAACAATCCACCAATAGTTTTTTGGGGCTATTTGTTTAAAGTTGGTCCAAAAAGCTATCACCAGTTAACAACAAACCTTTTATTACAGATGTAACTTCAAAGCTTTTCCATGAAGCCAGTTGCTATTAAAGTATTTCCAGTAAAAGTACCTATTCATTATTCAGTAAGTACAATATAAAATAGTTCCAGCTACTGCACTGAAAAAGTCTTGGCCTCAGTATTTCACATTCAAAAGAAATTTATCACCTTGTTGTTCTTGCCAGAAAGACTAATTAATATTAAATCTTTTGAATTTCTCTGGATAAAACTGGCATCTGAGAGCCTAGTATGGTATCAGAGTTCTTTAAAATAAGTCAATAATAGAGATTAGTACCTCTTGTGTAATACTGTATGCATTGCATTCTGTTACATTTATTATACAAATTGAAATGAATAACAATATGCAGTTTAACATCCCATGAATATTTTTTATCATTCTCCAACAGTACTTAATATGCTAACCAACTTCACTGAAAGGCATACAGATGTGGAAAGAGTCTATCTAGGGACTTTAATTATCACCTTGTCAAATTCAAATTATTATCTTGCGAGTTCATTTCCATAAAGTATCCCCTTTGCTGTTGGATGATTTAACATGTGTCTGCTTTTTCTTATCTTATTTGTATCTATCCAGAGGGTTTAAACCTTTCAAAGTCGGCCAGCTCTTTGTCAGATCATGATGTTTACCGTAACTGATTTTGTCAAATACATTTTTGCAAACACTCAATTTTGCCATGGATGGGTCTGTAAAATGTGAAGAGAAACTAGCACACAGCACCAATAATGTTACATAAATCAGACTAAGACTTCAACGATTTCTAAACAGGATTAGCTTACAGTGAAGAACCAAAGAGCCTGGGGAATGATTCACCTGACAAAATTCTTGGAGACAGTCATTCTTGGTTGATAAATCATTTCACATTTCAGGAAACCTGGAATAATTCCAGCTGTAAGGATTGGGTAGACATTATTTTCTATGCTAGTCTGGATCACATGATAGGGCAAAAATATCATATGAATATTAATGACAGTGATTTTTTTTAATCTATTTAAAGGCAACAAAGCAGTGATGAAAATAAATGATGACAGAAGAAAAATGTCCTATTAGATAAGACTTACATCCAGCAAAACTGAAAGTTTAAACTGATTATTTACATTTTTTTAAAAGTGTGCAGGATAAATATGTGCATAATATGTTGGATGTCTTTGTAAGGGTGGTGAGGCACTGGAACAGGTTCTCTGGAGTTGTGGATGCCTCACCCCTGGAAGTGTTCAAGGCCAGGTTGGATGGGGCTCTGAGCAACCTCGTCTAGTGGAAAGTGTTCCTGCCCATGGCAGTGGAATTGGAACGAGGTGAGCTTTTAAAGTTCTTCCCAACCCAAATTATTCCATGATTCTATAATTCTGTGACATTAACACAGATTTGATCAGTCCCCCAAATTTCTGTTTAGAAGAAATAGAAATCAAAAATTCTCTATCTTGACATAAAATCCAATAGCCTGCATATAAAGTTAACTAAATCTGGAAACAAAAAATGTGTTACATTTTTTGTAATTTTAAGTTTTTGAATTTCAGTTGTAGAAGAACACATAATTGTGTAATTATAACTCATAATTAAACTAAGATGCATATAAATTTTTAATAATAATAAACAGAAATAAAGAAGAATGCTATTTTTGACAAAATAAAAACAAAACAATAAATGTGACTCTAAACATCCCACCCCAAGTAGCACAAACCAGAAAGAAAAAGACAACTAATTAGCTAGCTCTTTGTAAATATATCTAAGCGCAGTTTGAAAAAGAGACATGGATTGTTCCTGTTCAAGAGTCATACTACTCACTTGTTTTGATTTAGTTTTTAACTTCTTTCTTGCACTTGCACTACATTGGAGAAAACTTTCATAATTTCGGAGAATAACTTTCACTTCTAAATAGATACATAATACTGGATAAATATTAGGGGTTATTATTAAGAATTAAAATATTACATAATAATATTGCATATTATATGTATTAAGGATTACAATATGAGTTGAGAAGAAATTTGCAGGAAAAGGAGCATAATAGATGCAGCTTTTGTGACTAGCAGAGGATGGAAAAATCACACTCAAGGCAAATTTGGCTTCTGTTTGTAATTTATTAATCATGAATTCCTTTTTATTCTTTTTTTGGTTTTCATGTATTTAGTCAGTTTAGATTCTGAATTAATTTCACTGAGAATTTAGAGGGACTACTTATACATGTATATGAAGAGTCAAAATGTGTGTGTTAAATGTGTTAAAACTGCTTCCAGTGCATCTGTGTAAACCAGAGGTGCAACTTGATCAGTTAGTTCTTGCATAAATTTCAGTAGAATAAAACAAGAAATTTTATCAGGGGGGTAATTGTAATTTACTGTGTTTTTTAAGTAACAAACAATGCTCCTTGCTCCCCAAATTCTTTCTAATTATAATTACTGAAGACTACTGTGAAAAAGGTTTGCAAAGTTTTCAAAAAAATATGCTCACTTCTTAGCAAAAACCTGAATAAAGAGAGCAATGTTAAATAAGTGCTATAGACCAAAATGCAAGTAGGAAGAAAATTTCAAATGTGATTATGGCAATTGCATTTCAAACTCCAGTGCGGATAAAACTACAGATTAGTATATAAGAAAGAAAACATAATTTGAAGTTAAATTATGATTTTTTGACATTAATACATTGTTGAAATTATTTAAGTTTCAGAAGCACATAATTAAATAGGACTTGATGTTAGCTCATAACACTTGCCATCCACGTCTTTCACTTCAGCACTAAAATAAAACTGAGGCATTTTTCTCATGGTCCCATTCCTCAGTGCTACCATTGAAGCACTCTTTTTCTCTTATGGGGTAAGGGATGTCAGAACAATAATCTTCAGCAAAAGAATAGGTTGTCTTGCAGCATTGTTAAGGCTATAACCTCAGCCCAAAGTACAGATTGCAACAGGCTTTGCTGAAGCCTTTGTAATGCAGCAATCCTTGCCAGCCATACAAGTGCTCATTTTGCAATAATAGATTCCCTGACATTTGATATAATGTAAAGGGTATAGAGTGTGCTAAACAGTGCTTAAACACAGAAAACTGTCCTCAAAATATATACCACACTGAGGAATTCCTGTGAACCAATAACATAATTCAGATGCTTTGACCATGCTGCAATGAATGCACCATAGTGGAAAATGCAGCTGTCCACATCACAAACCCTGACAGACAAATAAATGTCCAATGAAAATAGATTTTGCACCCTTGACCTTAAGGCAAACACCTATTTAAAATCGGGTTACTCATGAATGAAAGAGGAGGAATAGTCAGCACAGCCTGACAATGTGTTCACCTGATTATTTTTTGCAAAATTCATGGGAAAATAACATTAAAAAACCTACCTGACTTAGTACCAAAAATTACTGTGATTTCAAAAAGAATTTAATTTGTCATTCTAGCAGTTTGAGCAGTGGCCCATTTAGCTCTTTTGTCTGAGATACAGAATGACTTTGAAACCTTCCTTACTGAATTATTATTATCAATGAAGGCAACAGGTTCCTGCCACACGACACTATTACTGTGCTGGATGAACTCTCCTTTGGGAAATTTCTTTTACTTGTTGGTAGCATTTCTTCATATCTGTTGTACTCTGTACACTGTATTTTGGGATCAAAACAAAGGCATTTTAGACAAAGGAATTCAAACTGTCTCGATTTTAAATATAGCCAACCAGACTTTTGGGGTCAAAAAAAAGATTAAATATAATGCATGAATTACTTTTCTTTAGCCCTCATAATTATTTATTATAAGCTACAATAATTTTGCAGTAAATTAAGAAAGATAAATGAAACATAAATTAATCAACTGTGAATGCATGCATAAATGCATATATTTGAAATGCTATGGCAAATTTTATTTTTAGGGGATTCACTGGAGAGACACAGGTCCAGTGCTTAATCTATACTGAAACTACCCATAAGGAAAAATTTGACCCCCATTTCCTTCTCTTTTCTGTGTGAAAAGGGAACCATTGATTTCCGCCAACTAACAAGCAGTCAAGTATACAAAACAAGTAGCAGAACAACCCATGTAGTAATTCCTGTTAATTCTCCCCCTCGGTTTTTTGTGTTTTGTGAGTTTGGTTTTTTTGGGGTTTTTTTTTGTTTTTTTGTATGTTTGTTTTTGTGTGTGTTTTTGTGTTTGTTTGCTTCTACAAGGGAAACATTGATTTGAACACGTTTTAGTGGATTTTCCAAAATCATGCCTTTTTAATAATGTTTCCCTTCCCAGAATATTGGGATCAGATAGCAGGAACAAAAAACATATAAAAATTCATTAAAAGAAAAATCAAACATCCTGTGTTTCTCGGGATGATATTCTGTAGGAGTTTTGTTTGCTTGCTTTATATCTTTTATGTTAAATTTATTCAGTAGAAGTGCTTAGTGTGGGTTTGTTGATAAGGAGATTGAGTAAGTGTAATGAAAACCTCATTAGTTATTGTCATTTAATGATAATAGGCCTCTATTTCCCCTCCTCTCTTAAAATGAGCAAAGAATACAAAACAATAAACAAACAACTGCCACCACACCCAGCCCCACTAAATCCCCCATTATGATAAACAGGATTAAAAACAAGAGGAAAATGAAGACTGTGAAGCTGCCATTGTTTTGGAAGGAAGTGATGAAGTCCAGATTCCAGCTCTGTAGCTAAATAGCTTTGCCACCACTTCTTTCTAGAATATTATTCAAATTTTGGGTTGCACATTTGTAGCTCCTGCTATCCTCAGTGTGACTATGCAGTAGAAGAAGTGACCTGGCCACCTCAGCAGCTTCTCCCTCTCTGCTCTCCCTGCCACATCCCAGCTGCAAAATTCTGCTCAGGCTATGAGCACAGGATGTAGTCTCCGCTGATTGGCTCCTGCCAATGATTTGATCATCCTTCAAAGTTCTGTAAAGAGAATGTCTAAAGTAAATAAATTAAGTCCTTTTTGCCTTCAGATGTATTTTGCTGAAAAACCTAGGTATTCGGGACAATTAATTTTACATCTGTCTCTTACAGACTGTTTTGGAATATACATTTTTCATTAAAGGAGATTTCTTCATTTCTCCTTTAAGAATTAAGGAGCCCTTCCCTCAGTTATAATAAAATAAATATGCTGTATCTGTCCTGCAGGAAGTCTACTAAGAAATATTTTCATTGGTTAAATTTTGGTCACTGCAAAAGTGAAATGCAATGTTGATTGGAGATTTTTTTTGCTTATTTGGGGGTTTTTATGGTTAGAATTTAGTAGCCAAAAGGAAGAAAGAGGTTTATTTATTTAAATAATGATAATTTTATGAACATAATGTATCCATAAAAATAGTTGTCTTTGGGTGAAAACAATAGTTTTAATTATTCTCAACTTTTTTTCCTTAAATTCTTTCTCCTTCCTCTCTAAAAGGCTTAGGTTGAGACTGCAATTCTGTAAAAGCCCATTTCTCTAGACACTCAAAATTATATACTTATTTCTTGCATTTTTCCACATGTAACTCCATTTCTCTAGACACTCAAAATTATATACTTATTTCTTGCATTTTTCCACATGTAACTTATTTTTTTAATAGAAAGATATAACTGCTAATTCTGTTAATTTTCAATGTAACCCTTCATTACTGTACAGAAAGAAGAAAAAGAGGCCAAAAGAGACATTCTAGTATTTTCAAACATTGTTTTGTTTAGTTAGTTTGTTTGCGTGGTTTTTAAAATTCATATAACAGTTTTTTAATTTCTTTTTCATTCCTTCTAATAATACACCTTTGAAAGATTTTTATGCCCAATTTAATATGACTAAAACTATCAAGATTAGTGCTGTTCCAAATTTACTCTAAAACCAGCGTGCAAAAATCTTTTACTACTTATTGGTGCATAGGGTACTGCACTTTACAAAAAAGTAACAATTAAAGACCATGAACATAAAATAATCATTGCTTGAAGCTGACAGACAGTGATACCAAAGGGTTGCTTTTCATTGTAAAAGTTCTAGTACTTTAAACTTCAAGTGTATGAACTAGTAACCAATCAATGTCTTTAGGTGACCATTACTTTGTGACCAATGTCAAATGTTTTTAATTAACTAGTTAGGCAAGCTTAAGAAAGCCTGCTGAGCAAAGATGTATGATGTCAAAGCACTCTTTTCCTTTGTCACTTCTATTAGGCAGGGGAAGAATTACAAAAATCAATGGCAAAGGAA